GTTTAATCGAGCAAATACGGTACATGCAATTTTGGAAAAATGCTCATAACTTGAAAAATATTTATCAGAATTGTCTCAAACTTTCTACATAGCATAAGGACGTCAATATACATCATAAAATGTAATAAAAATTAGGGGGTGATTTTTGAGCCATTAAAAAAACCAAGGCCTTGGGTATTTTCACAATTTTGGTGTTTTCTTAAAATGGCCGTAACTTACAGTGTGTATTTTGTAACTATACTTTTTGGGAAGGCAGATGAAGTAGCTGAAGTACATGTACATGTATATCAAGCCAAAGAAGGTTATTATAATGCTTTTTGATAATAATTGTTCTCACTAACAGCTTTATTGAGCTGTTTTAATAACATTAAAGGTAATGGGTATGGCTTAATAACTTATGGATAATAGATATCAATATCTTCATTTTTGGGCAATTATTATATGATATTAGAGGTGGGCGATACGATACCAAAGTACTCATATATCTGATACTAAATCGAGTAGTGAGTAGCCACGCCCCACCACACCTACTTTGACGTCATGATACTGGCCACACCCTCTGGTAATTACCAAAATGGCGGTTTATTTCTCTTAATTTTTATTAATAGCTAATTTGTGCACGTGCAGTGGCTGACTTCTCCATTCAGTATTCGATACCATCGATACTGATTCTCAGACTACTTGGTATCGATCGGTATTGATTCAAAATTTCTGGTATCACCCACCTCTATTATGATATTGTATCATTTCAAAGTATAGCATATCACCCAGCACTATTAATTTTTTAATCTTTATATTAAAAGTAAGACAGGGTTATGTTAACCCATTCAAAAATTTTCTTTTGGTGAGATAACACCTTTGCAGTTTTGGACGTATTTACATTGAAGGTCTCTCTCCTTTTATACTCAGTTATTTGTAAAAGGTCTAATGGGTTGCCCTCTCTAAGTCATCCTGTTCTTTGTTGTGGTTTATAGTTGACACTACATGCCGGTATAACAATTGCAGCACTTCATTAACTGTTACTACTACTGATTGTCCTACATGTACATATATCCTTGCTTTTTTTGAATGTTTCAAATGTTTAATTGTTTATATTGATAGTTTAAGACAGGGCTAAGTTTATACATGTAAGTTAACCCATTCAATAATTGTATAGATTATAGAGGTGGGCGATACGATACCAAAGTACTCATGTATCCGATACCAGGCCTCCGATACCAAGTACTCAATACCAAATCCTGGTATCGAGTAGTAAGTGACCATGCCCCACCACGCCTACTTTGACGTCATAACAGTTGCCACGCCCTTTAATAATTACAAAAAATGACGGCTTTTTTCTCTTAATTTTTATTAATAACTAATTATAACTTATTTGCGCATGCGCAGTAGCTGACTACTCATTCAGTACTCGATACCATCGATACTGAGACTCAGACTACTTGGTATCAGTATCGATTTAAAATTTCTGGTATCACCCACCTCTAATAGATTACTCTATGCATGTATATGTACATGTATATGGATTAGGCAACTGTCTATAGTAATTCATCTTGTTTTATACTCACTTATCAGTAAAAGTCTATTGTGGGTTGGACTCTCTTCTCCTTCTCTTGTAGTTAACAGTTGAAGCTGTACATGTACATGTATGTTTATACAGCAATACAATGTAACCTGTGTTCCTGTATACATGCACATGTAAATGCATTAACGCAATCTTTAATTTCAATCATTATTCATTACCTCATACA